GGGTCGCTCCACCGCCTCCCTCACCCGGGCACGGCGGTCGCAGCAGCTGGACCACGGTGACATTGGTGAGGACGATGTCGCGTTTCGACATGGCCTCCTAAGGTTTCTTGGCCCAGCCAGCCGCTCTGGCACTCTCCGCGATGTTACTGCTTGACGGAGCTCGGGGCTGGAGGGACTGGGAAGTCTTACCGAGACGTCACCTGTGACGTCACAGAGGAGGCGGTATGAAGGCCCAGGCCCAGTCCAGGCACGTGGCTGCGGCTGTGTACCACCCTTCCAAGACCAGCCCTGGCGTCTCAATGGAATCCAACATTTTGCACTGGCCTTCAAAGCCCTTTCTCTGTTCTGTTCTTCTCCTTGGGCACACAGGCTCTATGCTCTTCTGGACCCTCTTCTGAATAGTTATCCTCGCTATTTCTTTTTGCCTGGAAGTCCTGTATTTATTCATTCGTTCTGGTATTCATTCAAGTTCTTCCCTTGGCAGCCTCTTGGTTTCCCTCAGGTGCCACACTCTAAGAGAGTTCCTCCTGACTCCACATCTAAAGTTCACTCCTTTCTCAGCCACTATCTGCCATGACCATTACTCCCTCCATCTACCCGTCATCCAGGAATCCTTGTTTGACTTCCCATCCTGGGTTACATGTGAAAATGTGCCCAACTGCTCTAGGGTTATACTCGATAATTTTCTTTTCCTCTAAGCATATGTCTCTCTCTAAAGATCATTTTATTTATCCATTTTTTTCTTGCAAATTGTCTCTGCCCATTAGAGGCCTTGTCTGCCTTTGTCACTTTTATATCCCATTGACTAGAAGAATGGTACTTAAAAGGTGATCGCTCAAAAAAATAATTCCAGAATGAATGAATAAAGTAACCTCCTGAGGTTTCTTCTGATGCCCAAACTTGTGTCCTATCCTCTCACACATGTTGTTCTTTTCCTGATGGCTTTTCATATATTTAGTTTACCATGATACAGTTACTCATTTACCTGTTCATTGTCTCCCTGTTGGGCCCATTGTTTTCTGTTTTGTTCATCACTGGTCCTCCAGCTCCTGTGCCTGACACAAAGCAGGCTTTCATCAAACATTCTGGGAGTAACACAGGGACAGATGGCTCCCTTCCCCCAAAGTATGGGGTGTGGGGGCTTGCTTGCTCATCTGTGACTCACAGACAGGTACCTTCACCTGTAGGGCCAGTTGACACACAGCTGTGACCAAGATTTAGGGGGGATTTGGGCCAGGAGGGAGTCATCATCCCAGAGAGAGGTGTGGAAGCAAGAAAGGGCAGAATGACATAACCTCTTCCTTCCCCTAACCTCCGTAAGGACTCAGTTTGCTAAGCATCTGCCATGAGACAGAGCAAGGCTGAGGCCCTCCTGCTTGGATGGGAAAGGTGAAACTGAAAATAAGTTGAGTGAACAGTTGGGGAGATGTCAACAAACCCAGACCAAAAAACAGAACAGAAGTGGGGGGTGCCGGATTTAACATGTATAGCAAGGTGGAGGAAAAGTGTGCACAAATAAAACCAGGACTGAAAAGGGACCAATTTTGTATGACTTTGCAATAATAGATATGAAAAACTAGATGCAGTTAAAATGTTCTTAGAAAATATGAGGGATCAAAACTGGTATAAAAAGAAATGGCGGGACTTCCCTGGTCTGGGAAGATCCCACAAGCCTCGGGCCAATTAAGCCCGTGCACTGCAACTATTGTGCACAGTAACTACCGAAGCCCACAAGCCCTGGATATTGAGCTCCACAACTAGAGAAGTCACCACAATGAAAAGCCTGGACACTGCAACTAGAGAAAACACATGCCCAGCGACACAGACCCAGCACCACCACCAAAAAAAAAAAGAGAAATGGCAAATCTGCATAGGCCAATAACAAGAGAAGAAACAAGGAGTTAAGATCTATCCTTCCAAAGGGTGACTCAGATCCCAATGATTTTATGGGCAAGATGTGCTGAGGCCCTGGGAACAAATACTTGCCATTCTACAGGACCTAGTGCAGAGCCTAAGTGGAGCTTGGAAGCCTAGTGGCAGCTCCTGTGCTGAGAGGCTCTGGGTAGGGCCTGGGCTCTGAGGCCCCATGGAGTGGCAGGCACACTCTGTGTACCCATATCGCACACTTCGTGGGAGTGCTGTGGGAATGCTGTGACAGCTCAGCCCCTGAAACCTCCACTACCACTCTAGGAAACAGCAGAGAAAGGACAACTCCAGGTTAATCTCATATATGGAGATAGATGCCAAAGTCCTGAGTTAAATAGTCCAAGTGAGAATGAATGGTTTTTCCAGTAGTCATGTACAGATGTGAGAGTTAGACTATAAAGAAGGTTGAGCACAAAGAATTGATGCTTTCGAACTGTGGTGTTGGAGAAGACTCTTGAGAGTCCCTTGGAAAGCAAGGAGATCAAACCAGTCAGTCCTAAAGGAAATCAACCCTGAATATTCATTGAATAGACTGATGCTGAAGCTCCAGTACTTTGGCCACCTGATGCAAAGAGCCGACTCACTGGAAAATACCTTGATGCTGGGAAAGATTGAGGGCAGGTGGAGAAGGGGGTGACAGAGGACGAGATGGTTGGATGGCATTACCAACTCAATGGGTATGAGTTTGAGCAAAGATAGTGAAGAACAGGGAAGCCTGATGTGTTGCAGTCCATGGGGTCGCAAAGAGTCGGACGTGACTGAGTGACTGAACAACAACAATGAGAACTACGCACTGAAGGGAAGGATGGAGACTGACAGAAGATGGTAGGATGGGGCGGGGCGAGGAACTGAGTACATTTCTGAAGGAGAAACTCCACCTTTCAATCTCGGGGCAGATTAAGATTCTGAAGCTCACCCTTCCCCACCTAGCAACCTCCCGGCCCGGGAAACTCCCTCATTCTGGTGCTGGACAAGGGCAGGAAAGCAACACCTGAGGTTGCCCAGAGATTTGACTATATCCTTGGACTGTGAAACCCACTTGGTGAGCACAAGCTTGGAGCAGTGGCACAATTAATCATGGTCCATGGGCAGAGCCTAGAGAAGGCAGAACCCCCTGGCTTTCTGGGTCTGGATGCCTGGATCTGAGATGGGGCCCTGGGTCCTCCGGGGGGAGTGGATCTTGTCGCCCTTGTTGAGCAAAGCCTGAAAACACGTGCAGATTCTTGCCACACCTGGGCACCCACATGCATAGCTCTGCTGCCCCCACCTGCTCACACCCAGCACATTCCTTCGTGCCTGGGCTGCCCACCTGCAGACCCACCTTCGCCCCCTCTCCCAGGCTCTCCCCTTGGCACCAAAACCCAAATGTCTTTCACCCTGGCACCCAACTGTATCCACCCACTGGCTGTCATCCTTCTAGTCCCTCTGAACCAGCTCTACAGACCCACCAAGGACAGGCCTACCATCACCCCCTGCCCTTCACTCTGATGTCCTGCTCCACACCGAGGCCAGACTCTCAGCTGTTTCTGTCTCCAGCCCTTGCCAGTATGTCAACACTTGGGACTTCAGGTCGGGACTTAGGAGGCCTCAGGGGGAGGAGGGAAGAAGGGATGAGCTCCTGGCCCCCAGCCCAGGTTCTGGCTGACTGACTCCTGCTGCCCTGGGTCTTCGGGTCCTCCCTGTGGCTGCCTCAACCGGCTTTTCAAGAGACACTCGTCCTGTCCCAGCTCATGGCAATCAGTCCTCTGCCCTTGCCCAAGGGCTGGGAGGTAGGGCAAGAATGTGTTTCTGGTTCCAAAATCTGCCACCCTCACCAAGGGACCTGATGCTGTTCTGGGGACGCATACAAACTTCCCTCCTTCATGTTCTGAGACCCAGGCTCAGGCCTGGACTCTCATCCCCTGGTGTGTTCTAATCCATCCATTGTTCAACCTACAAATGTTTACTAAATGTTCTCGAAGCTCAGGATGTAGCATGACCAACACAGACAAAGGCCCTCTGAAAGTCTACAAACTGATAGGGGTGTGTGGGTGTGTGTGGGGGGTGTGTGTGTGTGTGTGTGCTCAGTCATGTCTGACTCTTTGAGATCCCATGGACTGTAGCCCCCCAGGCTCCTCTGTCCATGGGATTCAGCAGGCAAGAATACTGGAGTGGGTTGCCATGCCCTCCTCCAGGGGATCTTCCCAGCCCAGGGATCGAACCGAGATCTCCTGCATTGGCAGGCGGGTTCTTTACCACTGCGCCACCTGGGAAGTGTACAATCTGATAGGTGAGACAGACAATAAAAAATAATTTCGGATTGTGGTAAGAGCTATAAAAAGTAAAGGACGGCATTACAGAGTATAACTGGGGGAGGGCCAGGGAAGGGTGTTTTGAGAAGGTGACATCTGAGACAAGAAGAGAGTGAGGAGGAATCCAGCCTGTGAAAATCTGAGTTCTTCATTCCAGGCAGAGAGAAGAGCAAGTGTCAAGGGCATGAGGCAGCAATGAGCTCGGTGTGTTTGAGGACCAGAGAGAAGACCTGTGTGGCCGGAGCATAGTAAGTGCGGGGGACGGGGGTCAGCAACAACAATCAGAGCAAGGTCTAATGATTGCTTCCACTTCCTGGGGGGTGCTTCTGGCCCCTGCTCCCCATCTTTTCAGACTCTTGTTGCTGGGAAAGGTGGATCCTTAGGTCCCTGAGAGGAGTGAAGATGCTGAAGAACCAGCCAGGGTCCTAGGGATGGAGGGTGACTGAAGATGGGGTTGGGAGAGATGAAGCCTAGATAGTAACTGAGGAATGAAAAGAGCAGGTGATTGAAAGGACAGACATCTGGGCTCTGGGGTGGAGGGCGCGAGCTGGGCAAGGAGCAAAGATGCTGCGTGAGTCTTCTCCATTCATGACTCACCCTCTCTTCCTCCTCTTCTCATTGCTCAACCCCAGATCTCCCTGGGAAATACCTCCCTGACTGGGGACTAAGTACCTCACAGGGTAATTGAGTCATGAGGGGTGGAGAAGAGCAAGGGAGGCAGAGGATAAATAGCAGCTTTGCCTCCCTGGCTCTTCTCTGCATCCTCCCCGCTTGTCCAACAATATGCATCTTGCCAGTTTGCTCAGCTCCTGCTCCCTCCTGCTGCTACTGGGGGCCCTGCCTGGATGGGCGGCCAACAATGACCCCATTGAGAAGGTCATTGAAGGGATCAACCGAGGGCTGAGCAATGCAGAGAGAGAGGTGGACAAGGCCCTGGAAGGCATCAACAATGGAATCACTCAAGCTGGAAGGGAAGTGGAGAAAGTTTTTAATGGACTCAGCAGTGTGGGGAACCAGGCCGGCAAGGAGCTGGACAAGGGCATCCAGGGGCTCAACCACGGCTTGGACAAGGTAGCCCATGGAATCAACAATGGCATCGGACACACAGGAAAGGAAGCAGAGAAGCTTGCTCATGGGGTCAACCATGCTGCTGGACAGGTTGGGAAGGAGGCAGACAAAGTGATTCAGGGGGTCCATCATGGGGCCAACCAGGCGGGAAGTGATGCAGGGAGGTTTGGTCAGGGGGCCCACCATGCTGCCGGGCAGGCTGGGAGCGAGGCAGAAAAGTTTGGCCAGGGGGTCCACCATGCTGCTGGGCAGGCTGGGAGCGAGGCAGAAAAGTTTGGCCAGGGGGTCCACCATGCTGCTGGGCAGGCTGGGAAAGAGGCAGAGAAGTTTGGTCAGGGGGTCCACCATGCTGTTGGGCAGGCTGGGAGCGAGGCAGAAAAGTTTGGCCAGGGGGTCCACCATGCTGCTGGGCAGGCTGGGAAAGAGGCAGAGAAGTTTGGTCAGGGGGTCCACCATGCTGTTGGGCAGGCTGGGAAAGAGGGAGAAAAAATAGTCCAGGGGGTTCATCATGGAGTGAATCAGGCTGGGAAGGAGGCAGAGAAGTTTGGCCAGGGGGTCCACCATGCTACTGGGCAGTTTGGGAATGAGGCAGAGAAGTTTGGTCAAGGAGTCCACCATGCTGCTGGGCAGACTGGGAAAGAGGGAGAAAAAATAGTCCAGGGGGTCCAACATGGAGTGAATCAGGCTGGGAAGGAGGCAGAAAAGTTTGGCAAGGATGTTCATTATGCTGCTGGGCAGGCTGGGAAAGAGGGAGAAAAAATAGTCCAGGGGGTCCAACATGGAGTGAATCAGGCTGGGAAGGAGGCAGAAAAGTTTGGTCAGGGAGTCCACCATGCCGTTGACCAGGCTGGAAAGGAGGCGGGTAAAGTGGCTCAAGGGGTCCATGATGGGGTCAACCAGGCCGGCAAGGAGGCAGAGAAATTGGGCCACGGGGTCAACCATGCTGCTGGCCAGGCTGGAAAGGAAGCGGAGAAACTTGGCCAAGGTGTCCACCATGCTGCAGGCCAGGCCGGGAATGTTCATAATGGGGTCAACCAAGCCGGCAAGGAGGCCAACCAGCTGCTGAATGTAGGTGAACAGGGGTGGGGAAATGGGGAGAAGGGTGTTGGGGGAGGGAGAGGTTCAACCCTTGGGACATTTGGGGAGCCCACGTCACCATCATTTGGTGAAAGGAGCTTGGGCGGCTAAGCTTGGGGGAAGCTTTGTCTTCCCACTCTCCATCTCCCTTACAAAGGAGCTGGTGGCCAACCAGTCAGATGGATTAAGCCATCTTATCTGCAAAGCCCTGTATCAGAGAGTGTGGATGGTACCCCAGCCCCACCTCCAGGGAGCTACCCTCCCAGTGAAGGTGATCGGTAGGGAGGAGCACAGTCTCCCCTGGGGAACAGGAAGCAGTTACTGAGGCCAAGCTCTATTATGGAGCAAAGAGAACGAGTGTTGAGAAAACCCAGAACGTCAGCATGAGCTTGAGGACTAGCGTTGGGAGATAAGCCCCCTCTGTTTAATTTTCATAGCAAGCCTCTGAGGTAGTCAGGGTAAGGGTGCTGACTCCCTGATTCTCAGATAAGGAACCAGAAGCTCAGCGAGGTTTGAGGGACTTGCCAAGGTCACGTGGCTAGCACACAGCCTTGGTGAATCGCAAGTTAGGCTTCTTTCTCTTCCTCCACACTGCCCTGTCAGAGGAGGCCTTCCAGAGGATCTTTCTTCCTTTCTTCCTTCCTTCGTTTCTTTCTTTCTCCATGCCATGTAGCATGGGCTTCTCTGGTGGCTCAGATGGTAAAGAATTTGCCTGCAAGACCAAAGACCTGAGTTCGATCCCTGGGTTGGGAAGATCCCCTGGAAGAGGGCTTGACAACCCACTCCAGTATTCTTGCCTGGAGAATCCCCACGGACAGAGGAGCCTGGTGGGCTACAGTCTGTGGGATTGCAAAGAGTTGGACATGACGGAGCAGCTAAGCATAGCAAGCATAGTCATGTGGCATATGAGATCTTAGTTCCCAACTGGGGATCCAAGTCCCACCTCCTGCCCTGGAAGTTCGGAGTCTTAACCACTGGATCACCAGGGAGATTTCCTGGGGGATTTCTGGTCCCCACTTAGGTAGAGGGGGCACATACCAGGAGGCAGGCTGCACCACCGGCGGCATTACGGGCACCAAGGAGGAACAAGAGAAGGCTGACTCCTGCCTGCCCCAGTTCCCCACTCCCCACTCTCCATGCGGGGTCTTGGGACACCAGCTTGCAGAATGGCCCAGGCCTCGAAAGCTGCCAGCTACGGAGCCAGGGATGGGTGGGTGCAGAGAAAGGAACTATGTTGAAAGTGTGCAGGGTAAGGGAGAGGGCTGTGAGTCAGATGCCAGGATTCACTGAATAGAGCCCAAGAGAGGGTGGTTTGTTTGGGGATTCAAGGCTAGCAGCAGCAGTGCAGAGGCGGAGGCACTGCTGAGAGTCTGGGGAGGATTCAGGATAGGAATCAACCCGAGTTAGTGATCAAGCTGCAGTGTGTGTAGAAGAGTGTGTTAGAAGTCAGGGCGGAGGTTAAACTATGGTCCTGGTATTTGTGTGGCTCCTCTGGGCTCCCTTTCCAGTGGGGCCCCTTCTTAGTGACTAAGAACATCTCATTAACCAGAACAAAAGGGTTTGAGGGAAGACTGACCAGTAAGGGCAGACATGGTTCCTGGCTTCTCCTCTCATCTCTCGCGGAATTCCCACAGCCACGTGGGCTTTGGGTTTTCTTCCTGGACAGTATGGGTCGGTGGGTGATCTTATGCCTCCCACCCCAGCCCCAGTCACCTGAGGGGAAACGGGCCACCGGGGACAAGGAAATTGGGAGACCCTCAAGGTCTGGGGGGTTGTAATGACAGTCTGGGCTTTGTCCACAGAATGGTCATCCAGGCGGATCCACCGCCCAGCACGGAGGGGCCGCAACCACAACCTTAACATCTGGAGTAAGTCTCGAGCACATAGCGTGGACTTGGAGGGTGGTGTGCAGGGTGCGGAGGCTCTCCTCGGGTGGCAGGTGGGACAGATGCTGGGGACTGACTCTCTTGTTCTTGAATTTCAGGCTTCGGTCAACAAGCCCTTCATGGCCTTGTCAGTCCTGTGGAAGGTGAGTGCCCAGGTGGTTTCTGGGAGACGTTCCCATACCCCCTCCCATCACCTGTTCTTTGAGAGCTGCACTGCAGACAGACACTCAGGCTCTGCAGAGGCCAGCCAACCTGTTTCCCAGCTCTGGTCTGCCTTACCTCCCTGCTCTCTGCCCTTCACATCCTGCGCTCACCTTTTGGGCTCTTTCCATTCCCATCCAAGCAGAAGAGGCCTCCAGGCATCCCTATGCATCTAGGAGCTGGGGGGAGGGGGCTGCCGAAACCTTCCTGTGCGTGCCCATCACCACCTGCCTTGGCATCTCCTGTCACACCCCCTCCCTTCACTGTGACTTCCTTGGCTGCCTTGTCCCTGCTGTCTTGTGGCAACATCCTGGGTGGCGGGAACCCCAGCCCTGTCCCTGGTGGACAGCAAGTCCCTCCCCATCCCCACCCACACCCCCCACCAGGCTAAAGGCTCCTCTGGGATCCTGGGCCTCCCTCTAGACCCAAAGAGAAGTCCTAGCTCTCGTCTGTGCTCAGTACATTCAGCGGCCTGAAACTGGATCCAATGGGTGAGGGTGTGGAACAGCCCTAAGACTATGCCAGAAACTTAGAGACACACCCATGTTTATTCCCGGGCTCTGGAGGTGGTGGAGGATCCTCTCGGGCAAAGCAGACAAGGCTTCTCAGTCTCTGCTGAGGCTCCTGGCACCTGTGTCTGGGTGGACCGGCTCCCAGTTCTTCCTGAGTCTAGGTGCCGCCTTCCTTAAGATAGTCCCTGGGACAGAGGCAATTCCTGGCCGGAGTAGCTAGTCTCCCTTTCACCTCTCTAGGGCGTGTGAGGGTGCAGGACTCTGTATCCACTCCCTCTCTCCTTCTCTCCTCCAGAGCGTCACCAGCATCATTCCCTAAGCTGATGAACTGACCTGGTTGAAGTGACTGACATTCCTATTGTCATATCCGCTGAAGTGACCTGAAGGAGCTGGGGCCCGCAGGGCGGGGCGGGGGGTGGGAAAGGGAAGGGGGAGGGTGGATTTCTAGAGTCCCTTAAGGGGTCAATACTCAGACTTGTGAATAAATACAACACACTGTGTAACCTCATGGTCCGCTGTGCTCCCTAAGCGGGGAATATGTGGGAGGAGCTTGTCTTTCCTCCTCTTTCTACTTTGCTGGAGGAGCTGGGAGTCTGAGGCACAGGATGGGTGGAGCTGGAGATTTCGGGCTGATCTGATGGAAGAGGGTGGTTACGGGGACAGGTTATGCTTCACTACTGCAAAGTTTGTGCTTGGCACTGGGAGGAAATCCATGCAGGAAAAGCCCCTCTGGGCCAGTAGTGGGGGCAGGAGCACCTGGGGCAAAAATGGCAGGAACCTTGGTGGAGCCTAAAAAGTTAGCATCCTCATTTAGGGGTGTGGCACCAAAAAGGAATACCAATAGTAACCTGTGTGTATTGTGTAATTAAGGCATGCTAGGCTCCCCGTGCATTATGTGCATGATCTCAGCGAATCCTCTCAATTGACCAGTTAGGTAAGAGGTACTGCTATTGCCCCATTTTATAAAAAATCACATGGAGGTTCAGGCAAGTTAAGAAACATGACCAAAGTCACACAACAAATGGAGGGAGAACCAGCCACAAAGGATATTCTGAAAACCCAGAGGTCTTTTGCTGTTTATTTTTTTTTTTAACATTTTAAAAATATTTTATTTTTGATTGCACTGGGTCTTTGTTGCTTCAAGCAGGCTCTCTCTCGTTGTGGAGAGTGGGGGCTATTCTCTCATCATGATGGGTGGGCTTCTCATTGCAGTGGCTTCTCTTGTTTCCAGAGCACAGGCTCTAGGCTGTGCCAGCTTCCGGAGGTGCAGTTCATGGGCTAAATAGTTGTGGCTCCTGGGCTCTAGGGCACCGCCTCAGTAGTTGTGGCGCACGGGCTTGGCTGCTCTGTGGCTTGTTGGACCTTCTCGAGGACCAGGGATCAAACCAGCATCCCCTGCATTGGCAGGCAGATTCTTATCCACTGTACCACCACGGAAGTCCTCTTGCTGTTTAGTATCAGTAGGGAGGGGACTCAGTGAATAAGGAGAGAGGAAGGAGGTACACGTGTGAGGCCTTCTCTCTGGTAGGACCACAGAGGGCTCAGGGGGAAGGCACCCTGAGGACAGGAGGGAGGCCTCTTTCTGAGAGGAATGGTGAGACACAAGGCCCTGTCCGTCTTCAGATCTGTGGATGGCTCAAAGCCCGGAGCAATGATGCTAGCAACTACTATATACTGAGCATGCAGTAGGTTCCAGGTACCATATGAAAGATCCTCTACAACCACTGAAGCTTCCTACAACCCAAAGGATATGATCTACACTGTATGGATGAGGAAGTTGAGGCTCTGAGCAGCCAGGCCACTTACCTGGGATAACCCGTGAGAAAGTAGCAGGCCTGTCTATTGCCAGAACCTGACCTTGCCCAGTTGCCTATAAAGTCTGTAGAACACTCACCTAGCATGGGTGGAGTTCTGGGAGACTGTGTGCCTGTGGGCCATGTCCTTCCCCTCCAGGGGCCACCACTTCCTCCCATATAAGTTGGGGGGGGGGGTGGCGGGTATTTGCAAGAGAGGACTACAAACATGGCTTCCAGCTCCAAAATTCTATCAACCGTGGGACCAGAAATAGAGACAATGTTTTTGCCCTTGGGGAATTTAGAGGCTTCCTGGGAAGGCTTCCTCAATGGCTCAGCAGGTAAAGAATCTGCCTGCAAAGCAGGAGACACGGGACATGATGTGTCTTCCCGATCCCTGGGTCAGGAAGATCCCCTGGAGGAGGAAATGGCAACCCACTCCAGTATTCTTGCCTGGAGAATTCCATGGACAGAGGAGCCTGGCGGACTCCAGTCTGTGGGGGCACAAAGAGCTGGGCACACCTGAGTGACGAAGCACAAAGCACAAACAGCATTTGAAAACAAATACAAAATGATGTATCAATAAGGACTAAGTGACGCACCAGGGACGGAGGGGCCTCACATGCACAGTAAAGGTAATGTTCTTGCACTTCATATTCTCTGTGTTTTTCCTTGTTTGTAGAATACCACTATTTTATTTTATTATTTATTGTTTTTTTTGTCCTTGCTCCCTCCCCAACCAGAGATAGAACCCAGGCCCCCAGCAGTGGAAGCGCGGAGTCCCAGCCACTGGACCACCAGGGAAGTCCCTGCTTAAACAACATATGCTCCTTTTCTTCCCTGGCAATATCTTAAGTGCAAAAATGAAAGAATTTTACAGTGGATGCCTGCGTCCTCACCACTTGGATTCCACCATGAACATATGACTATGCTTGCTTTATCACATTTCCACTCAACACACACCAAGCCATCTAGCCATGTAGTGATACTTTTTCTTCTTTTGCTATACAGTAGGTCCTTGTTGGTTATACATTTTAAATATAGCAGTGTATACATGTCCATCCCAAACTCCCTAACCATCCCTTCCCCTGATCCTTCTGCTCAGGTACTGATACATTTTTGATGCTTTTCAAAGTAAATCCCAGAGCTTTGTTTCTGGCATTTCAATAGACAGAAGCATTCATTTCTATTGGGTTGGCCAAAAAGTTCATTTGGTTTTAAGTAAGAATAAAAGACACATTTTTCATTTTCACAAGGACTTTATTGAACAACTATTCACTAACCAAACGAACTTTTTGGCCAACTCAATACCACATGTTTCCTACACATGTGGGAACAGAGGGTCTATTCTGTATTGAACATCCTTTCACCTGGTCTGGAAGAACCCCTTCCGAGTGGGGAATCATTTTTTCAGAAAGTAAAAGCTTTCGTTGATTCTATTTGCCCCCATTTTCTTGCTAGGTTGGCTTGAATGGAGTTCCTGAGATATAGGATATAGGAGATATAGAGATATCTCTGGAGTTCCAGAGATATAGGATAAAGCTGGGGGTCAGTCCTGGGAAGCTTCTGGAAGAGAGGAGTTGAGCCAGATCTGAAGATTACAAGAGGCATGGCTGAGTCCTGCCTCGAGGCCTGGCGGGCTCTGCTTCCTCTGCTGGGGACGTTCGCCCTGCTTATCTGTCCTTTCCGGCCTCCCCGTCTGAACAAAGGGCTATCTCGGATACTCTCCCATAGTGCACTGATCCTGGTCTTCAAGGTGTTGCGACAAACTGTAATTATATACTTGTGTGTGCGTGTGCATGCTCAGTCGCTTCAGTCGTGTCCAACGCTTTGTGACCCAATGGACTGTAGCCTGCCAGCTGCCTCTGTTCATGGGGATTCTCCAGGCAAGAATACTGGAGTGGGTTGCCATGTCCTCCTCCAGGCGATCTTCCCAACCCAGGGATTGAACCCATGTTTTCTGCACTGCAGGCAGATTCTTTACCCACTGAGCCACCTGGGAAGCGTGCAATTATCTCTTTACCTGTTTCATATCCATTTCCCCTAGACTAAGAGGTTCCGGAAGAGGGGTCGAGGCCGGGCCCAGGTGTCTGGCAATTAGTAGAGGGGAGGCTACCGGCTGGAGCAGACTTGGGATGTATAAGCAAGAAGCCCAAAGCTGGGCCAGACAGGTAGAGTCAGGCAAGGGAGTCAGAAAGAGAGGAGGCCAGTTGCGGAGGCTGTGGAAGAACAGGGAGAGGAGACTGGGTGGGACCGTCACCTCCGGCTTTTATTAGGTGTTCATTCTGGACTAAGCATTTACAGACATGATTCAGTCACCCTCATAACCTCCCCTGAGGCGGGTCCCACAATCACCCCCTTAGAGACGCTGAAGCCGAGGCTCAGAGAAGGGAGACAGTTGATGGAAGCCACCCAGCTAGTAGGCAGTGATGGCTGGCTCCTTGACCCAAGCACTTTCCTGCTGGGCATCTCTGCTCGAGGGGCGGCGGCGGGCTTCCCTGTGACCCTGGGTGGGGAAGGGCTACTTTAAATAAGTTCCCCGTGCCAAGTTGCTTCTTTTTGGGGGTGGGGGAGTGGGAAGCACATTGCTTGTGGGATCTTAGTTCCTGGACCAGGGATTGAACCTGTGACCCCCACAGTGGAAGTGGGGAGTCCTAACCACTGGACTGCTAGGGAATTCCCCAAATAAGTCCTCTTTAAAAGTAAATTTCTGCCTTTGGCCCATTCAGGGGGTACCTGTGTGCCTGTGCATGTGTCTCAAAATTAAACAACTGCCAGAAAAGTATTCCAACAGCAGTGATGTGTCTGACACTAGCAAGAACATATTTCAAGTGTTCTTATGTGCCAGGCACCGTCCTAAGCTCTTTGCGCCTGTTACCTTGTGTCATCCTTGTATCCACCCCTCTTGCAGTAAGTAAGTAATCAAGTCAGGATTTGAGCATGGGCTCCAGGACAGGATGAGGTGAGCCAGCAGCCACCAGTCTGAGGCCCAGGACCCCGCAGAGGGGAGCAGAGTTACCACCGAGCCCCGAGCCCCATGTCCACTCCATCCTTGAGTCCGGCCTCCGGCCTCCCCCCGAAGCCTCCTCCCTGGCCTCTTTACACCTCAGACCCACCCCCACCCCAGTCTGTTGCTCAGTTAAACATCTGAATCAGGTCACAACCTTCCTTGGTTCGCAGCCCTTGGCTGGTTCTACCTCATTAGGAGTCAAAGTACTCACCATAGTCCCCAAAGTTCCACAGTCTGGCCTGGTTGTGTCTGGCTTCAACCGCTCACATTTCCCCTCTGCAGCAGCCACAGTGGTCCTCAAACAGAATAAGCAGGCTCCCGCCTCAGGGCCTTTGCCTATTTTCTCTGCTTGGAGTCCCCAGGTTCCAGATACTCTTATGGCTCACTCCCAATTCTTTTCAGTCTTGGGTCATACATCACACCTCAAAGAGCCTTTTCCTGACCACGCTATTTAAAACACCATGAGGGGGTTCCCTGGTAGCCAGTGGTTAGGACTCTGCGTTTTCACTGCTGTGACCTGGGTTCAATCCCTGGTTGGGGAACTAAGATCCTGCCAGCCAGGAGGCACAGCCAAGAAAACAAAAAACTCCAAACTAAAACAAACCCCAAACTCCATTTTGTCTATTTCCTCACCCCCTTGTGTCTTTCTTTATAAGACTCTTCATCACCTGATATGTTCATTGTCCAATCTCCCCTCAGTGAACGTGAGTTCCCCAAGGAGGGAGATTTTCATGATCTTGTTCCATGCTATACTCCATGCCTAGAACAGGCATGACACAGAGTAAGCATTCAATAAACACTTGTTGAATGAATGAAGTAGTGAATTAGAGAGAAAAGCTGAAATCAGAGAGTCTAGGCATATCAGATTTGTGGATACTGTTATGCATAAAAGAAGAGAAGAGGCATGGAGCTGTAGGAGAAAAGGCTGTTTGGAGTCAGATCTAGGTCAGATTCTGACAGCTCCATTTTGCCATGGTCTTGTATATGATTTTGTATGTGTGTTAAACAGCTCACGACCTCAGTTACCTCATCTGTAAAAATGGGAATAATATCTATCTCTCGAGATTATAGTGGGGACTAAATGAGGTCATTCATGTGAAAGCACCTAGTCTTCTGTTTATTAAATACCCAACAGGTATTTAATACACAACAGGTATTTAATAAACATGCCTTCAGACTGATTCGAAGTGACCCCTCAGGTCCACAGATGTCTGCGGGCAGTATTTTTCCAGAAGGTAGAAATGGGACTACTGGTGGCATGGGAGAATTTAGATGGCTGTGACCAGGGCTTTGAATAAGTCTGAATCAAAAAGTGAGAAATTTCACTGTTTTCTTAAAATGTTTAAGAAACTTTCTGATTAGGTGAAGAAGGAGACTCCATTTCTGTGCTGGTGGGCTCAGAACACCTCTCTCAGATGTGCTAATCTTTTTTTTTTTTTTAAACAAGAGGATACAGGAACTGCCTCCAGATATAATGTAATACAATTGCTTGCTTCTCACTTTGTTTTTTTGTACTTTGTATTTATGGGCCAGTAATCCTGGCTTTCTACTTAGAGTAGTGATATAAAGTATTCTCTTAAAATATACTTAAGAAGGTAAGCTGGCTCCAAAAAGGAGAGAGAAAAAAGAAAGAAGAAGGATCAGGGCAGCTTTATGCCATGGTGAGGATGTCCCATGAGGGAAGTGTGGGAAGGAGTCTTGGAGGTGGCAAGCATGTGTGCCGCCTCCTGCCCCAAGGTCCTGTGGGGGTGGGGGGTGGTGTGGGCTGTCCATCACTAACCCTGGAGGCCTCAGATTTGCTCTTGCTCTCTGCCCCTCATAGGATCCCTGAGCAAAACCCAAACCAATTTTACCCAGAGAAGAATGAAGGTTCTGAAAACCAGGGGAGGGTCTCAGGCATCAAGAAGACAGAGTACGCTGGGAAGCAGGCTCAGGAGCGAGCCAGCCTGGGCTGGGCTTTGCCACTATTGCATGCTTAATGTCCTTCTGAACACCAAGTTCTCTGCCCCTAAATGGGGGTAATGATAGGACCGATTCTTCCAGGGCTGTCTGAGCCTTAAAGCTCTTAGTCCAGTGCGGGGCACATACAAAGGCGTGGATCAACTGCAGCCACGAAGAAGACGACGACTACTATTGTATTACCATCGCCACTATTATTATCATTAAAGAGTCAACGATGGAAAAATAGGGAAGTAAGAAGGAGCAGCAGAGGACAGGCGGTGTTTACATCGTGAGAGGTGATGGATGTTACAAGTTGGGGTGCGGGTGCTGGGGTGGAGAGAGACTGACTGAGAGACATTGAGAAAGGCAGATGGAAACTGGCCCCTCCTAACTGGGCGATGAGTCCCAGCAATACAAGGCAGTGCGAAACGGGAGGACCTGGGGTTCACGGGAGTGGGAGAAGTGGCCACACTGGCTGAGCAGCGAGCCATGAGCCCTCCGGAGGATGCTCCAGTTCTGCACCCTGAGCTGGGCCCAGGGGAGAGGACCACTGTGCTGACCCCTTCTCCCTCACCAATGCTGCTCCGGCTCGTTGGGGAGCAGCTGGGGGCGGGGTGGGGTGAGCTGGTGTAGTCCCAGCCCTCACAGCAGGCTGTGAGCTCACACACTTGCCCCCTCCAGGCCTGGCAAACAGGATAGGTGCCTGGGTCAGGCCTGGCAAACAGGATAGGTGCCTGGGTCAGCTGCACCCTCCCTAGGTCTTTCCCTCCCACTCGTTCCCTGGGGGTGGCTGGCCCGCCCAGCTCCCCTGCTCCACACCCAGCTTTCTCAGCCCAGATGCTAACTGACACGCCCTGATGACCAATCTAGGGGTCGCGGCTTCTTCCCTACCCGACTGATGCCTGGGGTCCCAGGCTCTCTGTGGCTGAAAGGCGCGGCAGTGTCAGGCTCTCACCTGTAGGTGGCAGTATGGGGCGGGGAGCGAGACAGGAGACAGGAAGGCTGGCGAAGGTCACCTGCGCCCATTGCGGTGCCCCGGATTCAGGCTTGCTTACACCTAGGACCGGTCCTGTCCCACTGGGTTCCTTACCCTCGCTCCCTCTTTTGATGTCCTGCCTGATTTCTCCCTCCTAGGTCCCCTGCACCTCACCACCTTTAGGAGGCACCACCAGCCTAGCTCCCCAGATGCCCCCACCCCCACCCCGCGCCCCAAATTCCTGGGGTTAGGAAATCAGAACACTTTGGCACTGAACTCATCCCATTTCTTCCTCCCTCCCTGATGCACGGACTCCCTCTCTGTTTCGACACAGACACTCAGACTCACAATTACAGTTCATTACCCTATCGGGTGGTTGGATCTGAGTCACTGTGGGGAGGGACCCTGAACTGCCCAGCCCTGCCACCTTCTCGCAGCTACACTATAAGGAGTAGCGGCGTGGAGGAGGACTTTGGGAAGACAAGGGCATCTGGGGAGGGAGAGAGCAGGCTGCAGACCCAGAGGGAGGGCGAACAAGAAGCCAGAAGGAAGGAGAGAAGGGAGGAGGGCCGGCAGACGCCGGGGAAGCGACAGGGCTCGAAAGGGAACCTGGGTGGAAAGAAGAAACTCAGGAGACAGGAAGTGCGGCAGAGATGAAGCTAAAGGGGTCTCTGGCCTGCCTCCTGCTGTTCCTGCTCCTGGGCAGTGGGGAGGCTAGCCCGCTGCAGGGTGGAGAGGAGGACGCCGGAGGAGAAGTTGGGGAAGCCATTGGACATGGGGTGGGGGAGGCCTTTGGACACGTGGTGGGAGAAGCCGTCATCCACGGAGTCGAGGAGGCCATTGGCCGAGGGACTGGAGAGAAAGCAGGCTTGGGAATCAGGGAGGCCAGGGACCCCCACTTGGGGGATGCTCTTGCCCACAAGCTTAAGGAAGCGAGCCACGCTCTTGAAAACACTGGGAGTGAGGCTGGCAGACAGGCTGAGAATATCATCGGACACGGAGTGGACCCTGCCCACAGCTCCTGGCAGGGGACGCCCGGCAGCAACGGAGCTTGGGTGAGTGGCTGGAAGGCCGCTGCGGAAATGGGAGGCTATGGGCAGCTGGGCTGAGGACCCCAGGAAGCAGTTGAAGGGAGGGATGCCTCCTCGTCAGTGGCGATCCTTCCACGTCAGGCCTCCCTCCCCCACTGCCCCCGACCCCGCCCCCACCCCCTGCCATGTCCTGCTCTGGTTCCTCTCTCTCTGAGCGGCTCTGCCCGCCCTCCCCACCCCAGAGTGAGGAGATCACACGCACTCAGCGCAGCCATGTCCTTCTTGCAGGGTACCCATGGGCAGCCTCCATCCGGAGGCCATGGCACCCCTGGCTCTCAGGGCGGCCCTGGAGGCCCCGGGGACACCCCGGACTATGTGTTCTCTGGAGGCTCAGGTGGCCACTTTGGAGCCAATGCTCAGGGAGGCTCCTGGGGCCAGGGAGGCCACAGAGGGCCATCCAACCTGGGGGCCAACCCTCAGGTAAAGTAACCATCAACCCTGATGCTTGCCCCCTCCCTCCCCTCAAGCCCATACTCTTGGTGCCTCCCCCGTGTCCTTCCTGATCCCAAGCTCATCTCACCCTTCCTGCAGGGAGCTGCAACCCCACCTGGCTCAGTGAGAGGCAGCAGCAACAGAAATACAGAAGTAAGAGGAAATGCCTGGAGAGGCAGAGGTGTCTGGATGCACGTGATAGAAACTGGGAGAGACACAGCAGAGAGAAAGACGGGCAGGGGAGGAGTGGAAGGAAGAGGCAGACTGGCTGGGGAGAGATAGGCGTGGGGATGAGGCTCAGAAGAGTGAGCTGGGCTTGAGGGGGGAGATGCACCGGGACAGGAAGCCAAGCCAAGGATGCCGGAGAGCCCGGCCTGAGGGAACAGCTTCAACTGGAAACCCACCCATCCCCTTCCCTCCACAGTGCACCAACCCCCCTGGCTCAGGTGGAAGCTCTAGCAACTCTGAGGTAAGAGGATGGGGCAACCTGAAGCATTTCTCCATGGGGAGGAGACAGAGAAACTCTACTCCTCTCAAACTGGGTGGGAAATACTCCTGAGGGAGGAGGGAGAGGGAGGAAAGCCCTCTCTCTTGGTGTTCTCATCTTTAGACCTCACTCTGGTCTCTTGGCTCAGATGGTAAAGAATCTGCCTGCAATGAGGGAGATGGGGGTTGGATCCCTGGGTGGGGAAGATCCCCTGGAGAAAGGAATGGCTACTCGCTCCAGTCTTCTTGCCTGGAGAATCCCATGGACAGAGGAGCCTGGAAGGCTACAGTCCATGGGGTCGCACAGAGCCGGACAGGACTAAAGTGACTGACGCTGGTCTCTTCCTCCCCTCAGGGAAGCAGCAGCAGTGGCGGCAGTAGTGGCAGCAGCAGTGGAGGCAGCAGTCATGGTGGAGGCAGCAATGGCGGCAGCAGTGGCGGCAGCAGTGGCGGCAGCAATGGAGGCAGCAGCAGTCACGGTGGAGGCAGCGGTGGAGGCAGCGGTGGAGGCAGCAGTGGCAGCTCCGGGTCCAGCTGGGTATGTTCTACTCATTTATTGCAGGCAGAGATGGGGTCCCTGGTGGTCCCTGCTGAAATATGCCAGCCCCAGGGTAGCTGGCGTCAATGGGGTTGTCATTCCAGGCCCCACATTTTGGGTTGCCCACATTCCAGCCCCACCAGGAGGTATTGCTGACACGTGCCCTCTAACCTGCAGAAAAGGTGCCCTGCCTACTGTGTTTACCCTAGCCCCTTGCCACTTGGTGACGGGGGATGCTGCCCCCTGTCTAACCTCTGCTCCTGCAGGCATGTCTACTTGGTGAATCTGACCAGAGCTGGGGTGGTGGATGGAGCCAGAGAGGTGGGCCCAGGGAAACATGACACTTACTTGGGAAGCTCCCAGGAGGATGGGGACACCACCACATGTGGAGACTTAAGGACACTTACAGAACTGCGGTGTAGATGCTAATAATAGTGTCCCTACATGAGGGATGAGAGGGTCAGGAGGGGACCATGACCTGGGAGCCAGATGAGGGTGGAGCTCCGACCAGGGGGCCTGCAGAGAAGGGGCACAGCTGGCTTCCTTGGGGTTCTGGGAAAGGTCTCAGGCAAGAACAAGCCAGGTGCTGTAAGCTGCCATAACTTACCACTCCCTGTACCACCCACTTTCCCTACATCTAGGACACTAGAAATTCTGATCATGGTGGCTTCTCCCGTGTAAGGATTCTAGGGATCCCTTCCCCTCTCTATGTTCCAGGAGAGGGTGAGGGGATGGGATCAATCCCTACTTCGGGAACTCTGGGCCCTCCCAAGTCCTTTGAAGCCCCCACACAGACTCTCGCTCTCCCTTGTAGGGATACAATCCCAACTTCTCCTCGGGGAACAGGGTTGGAAGCGTTGGCGGAAACAAACCCGAGGTGAGTGTGAAGAGGCTGGAAAGTGGGTGATGGTGGGAGAGGACAGCTCCCCCAGTCCCTGCAGGGAACCGGGGGCAGATGCTGATGGGGTGATGGACCCAGGCCAGCCTTGGGGTGCGAAGGCTGCAGTCTGCGGGGCTGGACTAGGTGTCTGGGTGGGGACTGAGAGTCTTCTCTTTGTCTCTCCCACAGTGTGACAACCCACACGTGTCTGGGGGATCTGGGGGTCAGGTGAGAGCCGAACCTGCAGCGACTGCGGTTCATCCCCGCAGCGGTGCCCCCTCCTCAAAGCAACTCCACTCACCCCTCTCCTAATGCGAGACTCTGTCCCAACCCCATCTGTGGGGAATTTACAATCCAGGGGGAGGAAACCATGGGCACGCTCCTCAAAAGACTAATAAGCTCCCAAATAATAATTAATTGTAAGTCCTTACATGATCTATCTCATGTTAGACCACAGACTGGGGCTGTGAACAATTGTATGAAAACCAGTCCTTTTAGAAACAGGATTGTTTCAAATGTCCTATACCCGACCAGTAAACAGAATTCAGTGATGAGTTTTGAAACTGATTTTGAAAGCATACCTTTCCCTCCTAGTTATCCTGGAAATCTGGCTCTCTGTCAGCACCTGCTGTGCTGACAGAGGAGGTGTTGCGCTAAGGTCCCCAGGCAGCGCCCAGAGGTCTTGTGAAAACACGGATTCTGATTCAGCAGGACTGGGGTGGGGCTGAGACTCTGGTTTCCAACAAGCATCCTGGCGAGGCTTCTAGCCTATGTGAGAGGGCGAGGGGCACGCCCAGTGGGGAGGAGGGGCTACACCGAGAAGGTTCTGTGAAGAGCTCCTCTGGATCGGGGACACTAACCTTTTGTGTGTAGGCAGGTTTTAAGAAAACTCCATTTGTAATTCTATTTTTAGTTTTCTTTTTGCACACCAAAGTCTTAAATACGTAGTGAGGTGGAAAAACAGACAAAAATAACAGAATAGTCAGTCAGTTCAGTCGCTCAGTTGTGTCCGACTCTTTGTGACCCCATGGACTGCAGCACACCAGGCCTCCCTGTTCATCACCAACTCCCAGAGTCCACCCAAACCTATGTCCATTGAATCGGTGATGCGATCCAACCATCACATCCTCTGTCATCAAGGGGATATTTGTTTTATTTTATTTATTTACTTTTGGGACTCACCCCACAGTATGTGGGATCTTAGTTCCCCGTGCATGCATGCTAAGTTGCTTTAGTCATGTCCAACTCTTTTTGACTCTATGGACTGTACCCCACCAGGCTCCTCTGCCTGTGGGGATTCTCCGGGCAAGAACGCTGGAGTAGGTTGCCATGCCATCCTCCAGGGGATCTTCCTGACCCAGGGGTCGAACCCATGTCCTTTATGTCTCCTGCATTGACAAACGGGTTCTTTATGACTAGTGCCACCTGGGAAGCCCCTTAGTTTCCTGACCAGGGATCAAACTCGCGCTCCCTGCGTTGCAAGGAGGAGTCTTAACCACTGGGCCACAGGGGAAGTCCCAAGGGGATATTTTTTAAAACCAAATGTAAGAAGACAGAATTGACAAGTGGAAAGCAGTGAATTTTGAGTTAAAAGATGGATGTTTGAGCACCAGCAGTATCACTGTCAGATGTGTGTCTCCAGGCAAGTCAGTTGGCCTCGCTGAGCCTGGGCTTCTTCTTGTGCAAAACAGGGACAGCGAAGCTAACTTGTTGACCCCGTCAGTTACTGCAGAGCTTTCTGCATCGTAATCACACCAAGGTGGTTCAGAGTCCTGGCCCTGGAGCCTGACACGGAGACGGGAGCTGAGAAAAGCTGCTGGACAGCTCTCTGCCTCAGTTTCCTTCTGTAAAGCAGAGCCGTCTCCACATGGGAAAGTGGTGGAAAGAGGCACAGTGTCCTGTGCAAGTGGGACTACATGTTGGCTACTAGTGGTGTTTGGGGAGCAGAGATGGGGTGGGGGGAGAAAGAATATGGATTTGATTCAAGGGACTGGGTAGGGTTAGTCTGGAGAGCAAGCAGCAAATCAGTCCAGGAAGGCTTTCTGGCGGTGGCGGCTCTTAGGTGCTGTGGAAAGAAGTGGGGTGGATGGCTTGACAGAGAGTACACAGTACAAAGGCTGAGAAGAGAGAGGTGACAGGTGGCATGCACGACAGGTTGCATGGAGCCTTGAACATCAGTCCCCTTTTCCCGACCCAGGGGCAGGGCTCTGGTAGAGAAGGCGAAGCTGTCAGTGGAATCAACACCTTGGTGAGTGAGAACGTCCCTCCTCTTGGACCATGGTGTCAAGGACCCCTGCCTGCCCTCCCCGCCCCCGCCCCGACACCCATACCTCCCACCCCCGCCTCCAGCCCACAGAGTGGGTTCTTACTCTCATTCTATTTCTCATTGGTCCCTTAGAACTCTCAGACATCTTCTGAGCCCTTCAACTTCGACACTTTCTGGAAGGTGAGTTCGGCAGGAGTGCTCTGCTCACTCTTCTTTGGAAAACCAAACCTGTGTCTCTTGGTCCCACAGGCTTTGGGCTATTGGGTTGGCCAAAATTTTCCATACCATCTTTGGGAAAACCCGATCAAACTTCTGGCCAACCCAATATAATGATTGTCAGCAGTGGCCCTTGGCCTCTCTTGTCCTGAGGCCCTGAGTCAATCACACTATGATCCAATTTGACCATTCTTTTTTTTTTTTTTCCCCTGCAGAATTTTAAATCCAAGCTGGGCTTCATTAACTGGGATGCCCTAAACAAGGTAAGGACTTGAAGGCCACGTCATTTTGATCTTTTTAAGGGAGGGATGTAGAGAAGAAAGCTAAATGGCTAGGTGAGCCAGGGAACAGTGATGATGGTCATTAAGAAAGCATTTCCGCTAGTCATTTAAAAAGAAAAGATAAAAACGAGGAGGAAGGACAGCTGAGACCTGAAAAGAGGGAGAATTTCAAAACAGCTGGGAGTGGGGGATAAGGAGGGAGCAGGTCTCTTTCATGTCTCAACATGCAGACCTGAACAGTCCTGAACTTCAGTTTCCCTGGAGAGTAAGAAGACCTAATCCCTAGGAACAAGGGAGGGAGCAGAGGCAGAGAGAGGCAGGGCATGGACTGAATCATCAAGGGGAGCTAAAGTTCACCTGAGGATTGATGCCAAGAGACAAGGGAAAAGGGAGTGAATACTCCAAGCATCAGTCTGGGCCCTGCACATACGTGATCTTAGGAGATGCTCGGGGCCCAGAACCCCCTTGTCCTTCCTCTCTCTTGTCCTTTGCTCTCGCAGGGGAAGCCCTGGCCAGGCTGGTCTGACACCAGAATAGCAGATGTATCTCCAGAGCAGAGGGGGTGGACTGGAAGTGGGGAGGGGTGGTGAAGGACAAATAAATGAATCAAATACCAAAGGCAGAAGCTAGAATTGGTGGTCCACTGATCCTTTGGTTTGATTCATTTTCAAAGAACAATACGGCAGCACTGGGCTCCTCTTTCTACGGCCTGTGACAGCCTAGAGCCGAGAAGCAGCTGCTTCTTGCCACTGGGGCTTGCTCTCCAGCGGTCGGATGTCCCTGCCCATCCCAGTCCTTCTAGCCACCTGACTGGAGAAACTAGAGTTCCTGACCCTTCAAGTAAAAGAATGCAGACTAGGATTCTTGCCCTCCAAAACTCGTGGGGGAGGGAGATGGTCGGTGGGGAGACAGAGAGGCAGTCCCCACCTCAGGAATGTCACCCTCTGGGAATAAGATGGGGACTGAAAATGGGAGTTGCAGAAGCTCCCAGCTACAGCAGAGTCCTGGCTTGGAGGGACAAAATGAAGAAAACAGACTTTTCTATTTCATAGAGAATGGTCTCTGGTAAGAGTAAGACTCCTTGCTGTGGACCATGCTCAGGCCTGTGAGCATGGGGACTTAAGAATTTAATGGGAGAACCAGGGCATGCACAGATACTTCCCAGGGGGTCAAACGTTTTTGTACATCTAGGGGGGCAGTAAAGGGAGTGCTCGCTGCCAGGTGGGATTCACTGGGGTGCGGCTCCCCCAGGAGCAGATCTCCCAGGAAAGGGACAGGACACAAGAGATGGGCAGAGAAGAGGATGGAGCCATTCACCTCCTTCATGGTAGGGGGAGGGGCAATGAGGGAGCCAGGACTTGGCCAGATGAGGAATGAGGACAGGGGCCCACATGTTCCTGGCAGGTAGGGGGGTTTCCAAGCCCAAGAGCTGGACTTGATTGCATGACAACCGTGGGCGCAAAGGTCCCTGTAGATTTCTGATGCGGAGGTCCCATCTACCCCTGCCTTGGTCCACTGATCCCCAAATCCCTAGTCCTTGAGCTCCCCCTTGGAACTTCTTTCTTTGCCCAGGACCAGAGGAGCTTTCACACCCCGTGACTTCCAGACACGGAGCTACCAGATGGAGGGGAGCCCCCTTCCCACCCATTCTTAAATCACCACTATCTCCCTACTAATCTCAATGCTTGCTCCAAAATAAATCTTAGCTATCCCACATTCCTGGTCTCTGCTCCTTTCTTAACGTCTCCACTGTTGTTCTGAGGGATGTGGGGGGGGCAGGGTGGTTGGAAAGGGGGACTTCGGCTCCACATCTCTGGGAGGTGGGCAGGTAGTAAGGTGGGAAGGTCCAGGGGGCAGGGCCTGAGGTTGTGTTCTCCCTGAGGCTGGGGGTGGGGGTGGGGGACTGGGCTAGAGAAGAACATTGTCATGTGCTGTGGGGGTGACCAAGGGGTGGCTAATGGCTCCAGAGGCTAGCCTCACTCTCCCTGTCCCCCAAAACAGTATTCTGGTGTCCCTGGAGGAACCGGCTCCCCCCAGACCTCAGTCACAGTGAATTCTGAAGGCTGAGGGATGCAGGAGCAGGGGTTCAGGTGAGGGTGGGTGGGGACAGACTCCTTGCTCACCGGCTCCCCACTTTCATCCACAGGGCCAGGCCCCACCCCCCAGCACTCGTGCCCTCCTCTACTTCAGGCGGCTCTGGGAGGTAGGAGAACTCTCACTCTTTGAAGAACTGGGAATCCTGGTGAAGAATCTTCCCTCCCTCCCTCCAGGCAGCTACCCCTCTGCTCCAGTCTACCTGTCACAAAAGTCCCCCTCTTCTCACTTCTGAGATGCGTCATCTCCCCCAAGTCTTATCACCAGTACCATCAGCAATGCTAACACCCTCGGTCTCCTGGAGGCTTATCTTCATCTAACCCCAAACTACACCCAGCTGCCAAAAAACCCCCAAAACCTGTTCTTGCACGTGATCTTGAAACTTTCACAACAGTCTGCCACACTCCACCCTCTGAATCCTCTTTCCCTGTGACCCACTCATCTTTCCTTCTTCCTCCAGGATTTCAAACACAACACTCCTTTCTTGAACTGGAAAGTCATTACTGAGGTAAGGGCCGTAGAACCCCCGGTTTGGGGGTCAGGACGCTCAGCTCTGGGGACACGGGGCTCGGGGCCCTGGGCAGCGGCCTGGAGATTCGTTTCTGCTTCCTCCCTGCTGAGGGAAGGTGCCTCCCTCGGTCCCCACTTTCCTCCTTGTGTGCATGCCCAGCGGAGGCGGGGTGGGAGAAGGAAGCTGTGAGTCACGGAGAAGGGAGCCGGGTGGGAGGTCCTCCCGGAGATAAAAGCCGAGGTGGAGAGTCGAGGGCTCCACAGGCGGGAGATCATGAAGCCGGCCACTGTCTCCTCTCTGCTGTTGCTCCTGCTGGGTGTGGCCTGGCTCGGGGGGAGCCACAGCTGGGTGGGTGCTGCAGGGGGAGCAGGGGGCGGGGGTCGCGGGGTGGGGGAGATGGAGGGGCCTGGGGTTGGGCTCAACTCTCAGGGCCGGAACAGGTTTACTCAGGAGGAAAGCTGAAGGGCAGTGGGAGGGTAGTATCTATGCGGGGAGGAGGAGGGAGGGTCAAGGTCGCGTGCAGGCAGCTGCGGGGTGGGGGGTCTGGTTATCTGAGTTCTAGGAAGGACGGGCATGGCCTGAGCGTCCTGTTGAAGGCCACACTTAGGTTTTGTGGGGCTAGTGGCCTTCAGGAATCAGGACTCTTGGGCACTGAGGCCAGGGTTGCAGGCTCCCTCGTCCACGTGGGCACGTGAGGCTGGACAGATGGGGCCACACTGTCTTGATTTTTTCTAGAAAACTAGGGCTTTCAACTGTTCACAACTGATTGAATTTACACATGCGGACCAAGCCAAAATACGCCTGTGGAGGCCTGTGGTCCTCCAGTTTGTGTCCACGTTTTGGGGGCTAGTAGTGGGGTTAGGGGACTTCCGTGGTGGCTCAGATGGTAAAGCGTCTGTCTACAACGTGGGAGACCCGGGTTCGATCCCTGGGTCAGGAAGATCCCCTGGAGAAGCGGGGTTAGAAGTCAGTGACAGAAAGAAAAAGAAGTCAATGGCAGGTATGGATAAGGTGGAGAGTTAAGCCAGATTTGGGAAGAACATCCTGAGCCTGAGAAAGAGACAGACAAGATTTCCCCTTGCCTTCATCAGAGGAGGGGAGGGAGCCTGCGCATCTGCAGTACTTCTTCTTTTAAAAAAATATTTATTCATTTCCTTGGCTTTTTAAAAAATATTTATTCATTTCTTTAGTTGCAGCACGCAGGACCTTTGATCTTTGTTCTCGCATGGGGACCCTTAGTTGGGGCATGTGGGATCCTAGTTCCCTGATCAGGGATCGAACCCGGGCCCCCTGCATTGGGAGTGCAGAGTCTTAGCCACTGGATCACCAGGGAAGTCCCTGCAGTGCTTTTTAAGGGCTCTGTCTGCTTTCCTATATTTCTCTTTTTCCTCTCTCTCCTTTGACTTGGCCTCCGTGGGAACCAGCCGGGCCTTCCAAAGACCCTGTAGAGAACAGCATTTGGGAAGAGGGATGCCCCTGTGAGGGGAGCAGCGCATGTTGCAGGCTGAGGATGGGTGGGGCTGACACGCGGGCTCTGCCCTGGGAGCTTGTGTAGGTTCCCTCACTTGTTATCCTGGCTCAGGCCAGCGCTGCAGGCACCTGGGTGATGGTGGGGCTGCCAAACCCGTTCTCTCCTCATCACTGCCCACTGAGTGTGGCAACCTGTCCTCTATCTATCCGGGCCATCAGTTTCCTCCTGGCCCGCCGCCTTCACCATAGGCAGCACCTACCATGGACCCTGAGAGGGGTGGGTGGGTCAGGTGGGACGCTGGCCTCCAGAAGGAGGGCAGAGCCTGGGTGGTGAGAGCCTGGCAAGACCTGAAGGACCACGAGGCTGTCCTCATTCTGATTCCCCCTTCCTTCCAGGGCGAGGACGTGCCATCGCTTCAGAAGAGGGCAGGTGTGGCTGGCCAGGTGAGTCCCTCCCTCAGAATGCCCTAGAAGGCCCATGGTCCCTCTCCGCCTAGCTCTTGTGCAAGCTAAGTCACTTCAGTCGTGTCCGACTTTTTGTGACCCTATGGACTGCAGCCCAACAGGCTCCTCTGTCCATGGGATTCTCCAGGCAAGAACACTGGAGTAGATTGATATGCCCTCCTCCTGGGGATCTTCCTGACCCAGGGATTGAACCCACATCTCTTAAGTCTCCTGCATTGGCAGGCGAATTCTTTACCACTAGCGCCACCTGGGAAGTCCACCCGGCTCTTGGTTTGGCCAATCTGCCAATCTGAAATTCTCCCTCCTCACTCCCGGTTCTATCATTTTCTCAGCCTGGCACAGGATGGCAAGATGCAGTAGCTGTGACTGCTAAGGTGAGCTAGCTGCCACCTGACCACCTGATTCAGACCTCACTTTTTCCTTGGTCTCCTCTCCTCACCTCCTCAGTGACACCTGAGATGCTGGGAGAGGCAGAGAAGGACAAGGGAGGCCAGGCCATCTGGGCTGGGAGGTGAAGCGAGGTGAAGGCATGGGGTGTGGCTGAAGGAGATTCTACAGAAGCACACTCGCGACATGAGGAGGGGAGGAGGCAGGGGCTTTGAGAAAGGTCCAGCCAGACCAGGGGGGTGGGAGTAAAATGCCTTCATCCCTTCTCTCCTGATCCCCTACCCATCACCCCTCCACTGCTTCCTTCCACAGAACTACAATTACAACCAGCAGGGACCCCCTACAGCCCTTGGCGGGCAGTACCCAGCCAAGACCCCTGCTAAGGTAAGACTTGCAACGGCCCACCCTCTCAAGAGTTTACAGGGGAACGTGACTGCATCACATGCCATGGAGAAAACTGCGGTCCTCTCAATGAGGAACATAAGCCACCTCAAAAATCACAGGACCCACGGCAAATCTGCTCTCCACCTCTAACTGCTGACCTTTCTAGGGGAGAGGAGGCTGACCCAGAAACTCTTGGTTGGTGGGAAAATGAAGGCTCCTTTTCATAAAGGAAGTAACTGGAAAGAAAAGTGAGGATTTTGCTTTATTCAGGCTCAAAGAAACAATTTTATAAATTCAGTAAAGGAATATGCTAAATACTAATTCGGCTGGTTAACAAACAAACGAACTGCCGAACTGCCGGTATTTCCCTCCATCTCTCAGAATAATAAAGCCCGTGCCCTGAAAGGAGGTGATGCTGCAGTTAACACTCCTGTGGGTATATCTGCTTCGCTCATCCCCCGGGCAGGCAGAGGGAGACATACCTTTCCTCTTCTCACTCCCCTCGGTCAGTGCATGCTCAGGGACCACATTCAGTATCATCTTGGGTAAAATGCATGCAGGATGAGAAATTGGCTGTGGCTGAAGGGCTGCTGTCAGACCAAAGGATCTCTGGGATGACCCTGGTCTGAACCTGCCAGGGCCACGGGCCCTTCCTGAGCCCTGAGGACATGGCTGAGTACAGAGCAGTCACGGAGGCCCTCATCTCACCTCCTCTGATCTTCTCTTTACAGGGGGGAGTCACGGTTTCTTCCTCGGTAAGTTTTGGGGCTGAGAAAATTTGGCTCTCGAGAGGAGGGGTCTGAGGCCAGAGGGTGCATGGCGGACGATGCACTGTCCATTCAGACCTTCTCCTTGCCCCACAGGCTTCCCGGATGCACCCTGGCCTGCTGCAATGGGTGAAGTTTTGGTAGGTGAGTGTCAGGAGCTGAGGCATAGTCACCTGGGATCAGGGCTGGGGGCTGGGCCTTCCCTTTGTTCTAGAAGAACATGCTAAAGGTGTTAAGGAGGAAGAGACACCCAAGTGTGGCTTGTGGAGAAAGACTCATAAGAAAATGACCGGGAACCTCCCTGGTGGTCCAGCGGTTAAGACTCTGAGCTTCCAATGCAGGGGGTGTGGGCTCGATCCCTGGTTGGGGAACTAAGATCCCGCATGGCTTGGCCAAAAAATGTTTTTAAAAATTGAAAAGAAGACTATACTTCAGTTAAAATGAATACTTAGAAGAGTTTTTAAAAAATGACCTAGAACACTGTGGGAATGCACCCTCTGAGTGCTGGGTGGGCCAGGCAGGGACAGGAAGGCACATTAGATTAAGGAGCAGGAACAGGATAGGAATTGTGTGTGGAGGGGGGAGGGGGCTGTGGGATGAACCTTTCAGGTGCAAAGTTTCAGGGGCGGGAAGAAGTGAGTCGCCAGGCTGGGAAGGGGTAATACTTGTTTTAGGGAGGAGAGAGAGGAGCCCGCAGGTGGCATGGGCAGGACATGAGGGAACTGTGGGCACAGCAGCTGGGGGAGATGAGAGAACGCCTGGTTTCAACAGATCTGGGAGTGGCTGGTGTTCTACCATCTTCTCTTTCTTCTGGACAACCACTTCCGACCGTGACTGAGGCCCTGAGAAACATGCGTCGTCAAGGGACCGGACTGTGCCCCTGCCCCAGCCCTTGGTCTGCGTGCCGACACCTGCCTTTTCTAGCTTGGGGTGCTGCCTGCCTGTCCCTTGTCTGCTCCCGCACATGGTGGTGACGTCTCCTTGACCTCCAGTCTCGGGGGTACCCCAGCCGTTTCTGGCTCCATTCTGTGACCTGAAGTCACCGTGACAAAAATTCAGGAGGAGCGTCCTACTTTAGAGTTTCTCTGTGGAAATAAAACATGAATCTTGTATCCCTAAGACTTTGGCAGATTTTGTTCTCTCTAATAGGACACTGATGGTCTGGGGCAGGGAGGAGGGAAGACGGGTTTGGGGCGGGTAACTCACCTTCCTCCTGAGGGTGCTCGCTCAGTGGTGTCCGGCTCTTTGCGACCCCATGGACTGCAGCCCGCCAGGCTCCTCTGCCCATGGGATTCTCCAGGCAAGAATACTGGAGCGGGTTGCCATGTCCTCCTCCAGGGGATCTTCACCACCCAGGGATTGAACCCACATCTCCTGCATTGCAGGAGGACTCTTTACCATTGAGTCACTGGGGAAGCCCCTTCCTCCTGAGAGGGGTGTACAAAATGACTGACATGAGGGGGAAGGGGAGGTTCAGTTCCCAGGGCTTAGCTCAGGGCCTGGCTCATCAAATAGCTGATGAAGAAATGAAAGAAGCCGAGCCCAAAGCAGACTAAGAGGAAATGACTTGACGTGCATCCGTTTCTCACGTTTGTCCTTAAGCCAGGGTTCCTGCTTTATATTCATCTCTGAATCTCAGGGGCTTCCCTGGTGGCTCAGAAGGTAAGGAATCCGCCTGCAGTGCAGGAGACCCGGGTTTGATCCCTGGGTCGGGAAGATCCCCTGGCAAAGGGAATGGCAACCCACTCCAGAATTCTTGCTTGGAGAATTCCACGGACAGAGGAGAGTGGCGGGTTCCAGTCCACGGGGGTCGCAAAGAGTCGGACACGGCTGAGCCACGAACACTTTCACCCTCTCTGGATCTCACCCGGTTAGGAAGGGCCCTGCAGTACCTCCTCGCAGCCACAGGGGGGAGAGCGCGTCCGTCCCCGCGCTGCCGCTCAGTCCTTCCAGCTGAATTGACAGCGGGCTTGACAGCTGGCTTCCTTCAGGGAGAGTGGGTGAGCGACAGAAACTGCTGGACCTCACGTTGCCTGCCAATCCCTGAGGGATTGAGGGGTCGAGGTGGTCAACATAGTTCTGGACTTGGGGCGGTCATGGTCCAAAGGGCTGAAAGCCACCCTCTAAAGTTTAAAGCACCAGCTGAAGCAGGTTGAGGCCCTCTGGTGTAAAGGATTCTCATAAAACAGCAGGCCAGCCCTTTCTCCTGCCAGGACCTCTGAAGCAGCTTCTTGACGTAGCTTCTGACTTTTGAGTTTCTCCTAACATCCGTTCTCCCACAGCAGCCAGAGTCTCCCCTGCTCAGAACCCCCCACAAACCCCACTGTTGTTGTTTAGTGGCTAAATCATTTCTGACTCTTTTGCGACCCCATGGACTGTAGCCCGCCAGGCTCCTCTGTCCATGGGATTCTCCAGGCCAGAACACTGGAGTAGGTTGCCATTTCCTTCTCTAGGGGATCTTCCAGACTCACGGATGGAACCCGAGTTTCCTGCATTGGCAGGTGGGTTCTTTACTGCTGAGCCACCAGGAAAGCCCACAAATTTCATTAACCATCAAATAAAATTTCAACCCCTGAGCATGGCTCAGCGTGTTCTGGCTCTGGTCTCTCTGTCCAATGTCAACCCAGATGTGCTTGGACAGTCTCCCAAAGAACACTGCTGTTACCTGTCCCTGAAACCTGGGGTAATCAAGAGGCTAAAAACTTTAATGACTTTTGGTCTAAATGCAAATCCCCAAGCCAGCTTAACCAACGTCACCTCCCCAGCCACTCTCACATCACCTGGTCTTTCTTTCTTCACAGAACTTGTCATCCTCTGAAATGATCTTGTTTCTTAATTTTTTTGTTAGGTTATAATCTGTCTACTTTAATGGAACAGAAGTTTCACAGGACAGGTTTCTGTCCATCTCGAATCCTCAGCACCAAGAGCCAAAAAAGCTGTTTAATAAACATTTGGGAATTAGAAAATGGAAGCGGGGTCAGCATTAAGTGGGTTCAACAGAGTCTTAGCCTCTGTCAGGCACTTGTGAATGTAGCTTATAATGTATAAGAAGTATTGAGATAAAGTAGGTAAATGAGATGGTCTATCTCCAAGTTGGTCAACTTTTATATCATATTCTGGGAATATTCACCCACGAGAATTCCATGAAAAATTTTCCAATTCAGTCGTTGTTTGATATTTTCGAAAAAACAAAAGTAATTCTGGTATCTGTCTAGCACAGGTCACTGTCAAGCAGTAACAAAATCTTTTCATGGAATGTATTAGTCATTATCCTTGGGCTTTTATAACCTTGGTTTGAATCTATCATAATGAAATAAAACTCTACGTCTCGAAAACTAAAAAAAAAGAATTAAGTGGGCTGCATCTAGGAAGTCTTCCTGGGAGAAGTTTAAGCAAAGTGTATGCAGAGCAGAGGCTGGGCAGCAAGGGAAGAAGCCAGACCTGCTGGGCAACGTGACTGCATCCTTGGGTGTGACCACAACACCGGCAGAGGGAGGAAAGGATGAGATAGGGATGCCCTGGGCTCTGCCCCTCCATACTCCATACCTCATACCCTGGCCCCTTTCTCTCCAAGGATTCTAGGCTTTTCACCTCGATGTTCACAAGACCCTGAGACCCTGGGGTGCTGCCCTTCCCTGAGCCCAAGGAGGCTGGCTCCCAGCCCCTAGGTGTGTCTGTAATGTAGCAATCAGGGTTGGGCCTCACCTCTCACCCACACTCAAGTTCTGGCAGATTTGGGGCAGAGTGGGCCAAGGCCTGTGGGAAATCAGGGGCTTACTGGTATTATCGGAGTGAGAACTAGGAGATCAGTCAGACTTGGGGCTGGGGTGACACAGAGGCAGGCTCGGTGACTCTGGCTGACTCCACTTACCCTGTGAGATGCAGCCAAAGCAAGGCTGAACCTGGGAAGATTCTCCTGCTGAGGGTTCCATTACCTGAACTGCGGGGACTCTCTCTGCCAGTGAGGACCCTCCTACGCCTCTCTTCCCAACCTGCCCAACCACTGGACACTGGACACTTGGGAAACACAAAACTCACCAAGGCAGTTTAAATGGGAGAAGGGGAGAGAGTGGGGAGAGAGGGACACCAGACTCTAGATTAGCATTTACAGCATAAATCATGTAAAGCCAAAATTACCCTTGAAAATCACGAAGGTGCCAAATGGAAATAATCATAAGTCCGGCACGGCCAGTTGTTGTTGTTTTTTAACTTTTCATTTTATATTGGAGTATAGCTGATGAACAACACTGTGGTAGTTTCAAGTGGAAAACAAAGGGACTCAGCCATACATATACATGTAACCATTCTCCTCCAAACTGCCTTCCCGCCCAGGCTGCTACGTAACAGTGAGCAGAGTTCCCTGTGGCACACCCAGTTTACTTTTCTCCAGAATGTGAACGGAATTTCTTGGGTTGTGCACACGAAACAATAGGCTTGTGTTTAGAGATATTATATAAAAGCACCTATCTTTAAACACTAGAAGACTATCTATAAACACACCCTTGGTATGGCAAGATGCTCAAACTATAAGAGGCATCTGGAATCTGGGGCAATTGCAGGTTCATTCTGGGGCATATGCTCAGTGAGGACCATTTAATCTCAGTTCTCTGTTTTCATTTGGTAAGAACACAGCTTCAGTTAGTCAGTTCAGTCACTCAGTTATGTCCAACTCTTTGAGACTCCATGGACTGCAGCACGCCAGACCTCCCTGTCCATCACCAACTCCCGGAGTTTACTCAAACTCATGTCCATTGAGTCGGTGATGCCATCCAACCATCTCATCCTCTGTTATCCCCTTCTCCTCCCACCTTCAATCTTTCCTGGCATCAGGGTCTTTTCTAATGAATTGGCTCCTCGCATCAGGTAGCCAAAGTATTGGAGCTTCAGCTTCAGCATCAGCCCTTCCAATGAATATTCAGGATTGATTTCCTTTAGGATGGACTGGTTGGATCTCCTTGCTGTCCAAGGGACTCTCAAGAGTCTTCAACACCACGGTTCAAAAGCATGAATTCTTTGGCACTCAGCTTTCTTTATGGTCCAACTCTCACATCCATACATGACTACAGGAAAAACCATAGCTTTGACTAGACAGAACTTTGTTGGCAAAGTAATGTCTCTGCTTTTTAATATGCTGTTCAGGTTAG